TCCTCTATGGAGTGGGCATCGGGGACATACTAGCGGGCCTCTGCCAGCTGTTTGGCTGCCCCAGTTTCCGCCCTTCACAGACATGCTGGCCACCTGGTGTGACATTCAGTGGCCTTGTTTGCAGCTAGTGTGATGAGACAAGTGGATCAGGTACGTTATAAAACTGAGACAGCACACAACATGCAGAGGGAAAGGAATAATGACCGTGTGTGTACTGCTCTGCTACAGTCCATGTCACGTGACTGAGATGACAAACATGTTTTCACATAGCATTTGGGCCCTGAGACAGGGCATTTATGTTTTACTTTTATTTATTACAGAGTTAGAATAAATACTGCCAGGCTTTCTTTTCTATTTTCCCCAACTCTCACTTTACCCCTCAAGTTTACCTACCTCAGAGAGAAAGCGGAGCTCGCCTGGTTAATGAGAGCCTGAAATGATTTGAGCCAGGTCACTGCGTAAAGGTCATACTGCTTCTGTCTCCTTGTACATCACTTGCTCAGCTCAGATATTTCATAGCTCCCTGTACACAGGTAGCTGTGTTACACTCCTAGCCTGCTTTCTTGGCTTGATACATGCCTGAGAGCATGTGGGAGCACTTAAGGTCTAGGGTCATGGGAGGACTGTTCTGCCCACGCCAGTTCATCTCTCCAGCTCAGCCTACATGCGTGCCTTCCTCCGTCTGATTCCAGAGTAGGGGATGGGAGGTCTCACACTGACCTCAATCTCAGCCTGCACGCGTGCCTTCCTCCATCTGATTCCAGAGCAGGGGATGGGAGGTCTCACACTGACCTCCAGCTCAGCCTACATGCATGCTTTCCTCCGTCTGATTCCAGAGCAGGGGACGGGAGGTCTCACACTGACCTCCAGCTCAGCCTGCATGCGTGCCTTCTTCCATCTGATTCCAGAGTAGGGGACGGGAGGTCTCACACTGACCTCAATCTCAGCCTGCATGGGTGCCTTCCTCTGTCTGATTCCAGAGCAGGGGACGGGAGGTCTCACACTGACCTCCAGCTCAGCCTGCATGCGTGCCTTCCTCCGTCTGATTCCAGAGTAGGGGGTGGGAGGTCTCACACTGACCTCAATCTCAGCCTGCATGCGTGCCTTCCTCCATCTGATTCCAGAATAGGGGATGGGAGGTCTCACATTGACTTCGAGTTTATGTGACTTTTTCCACCTCTGCTTTCCCAGACAGCCTCCGCTGTGGGACTTGTAAGGAGATTTGTGAAGTCAGTATCTACTTTCCTTGTGTGGGTGTTTTATAAATTAGAGTCCTGGAAGGGAATAAGTGTTAGAGGTACTCCAAACCCCTAACATCTAAACATCTAAGCCTGGCCCTTTTTTGGTGGTAAAATATATACAACATAAAACTTACCATTTTAACCATGTTTTAAATGTACAGTTGAGTGGCATCTAATATAATGTGTTGTACAACCATCTCCTTTATCCATATCTACAACTTCTTTATCATCCTAAACTGAAACACCATCCCCATAAATAAGTGTTTGAATATAAGACTGATGCATTTGACTCCATAAAAATTAAAACTTTATAGGCGAGAAAAATGCCTCAAAGTCAAAAGTCAACAGACTGGGGAAATAGATCTGCAACATACTTGACAGACAAAAAGCTAATTTAGGTTTTTTGTGTGTGTGTGTGTGTGTATATATATGTATATATGTGTATATGTGTATATATGTGTATATGTGTATATATGTGTATATGTGTATATATGTATGTATGTGTATATATATGTGTGTGTGTGTGTATATATATATAGCTATCCTAAATTATTAAAAGACCAGCAGCCAAATTGAAAAATGGGCAAGGAATGTAAAGAAACAGTTCAAAGAAACATGTAGATTTTTAAATATTTGGTAATTTTTTTACTGTGGTAAAATATGTACAACAGAAAATTTAAGTACATTAAGTAGAAATATGTTGTTGTGCAACTATCACCACTATCCATTCCAAACCTGTGTTATCATCCCAAAGTGAAACTCTGCATCCACAGAACAATAGCTCCCCATTCCCTTTCCCCAGTGCCCTGGAAACCACATCCTACTCTCTGTGTCTGTGAATTTAACTGCTCTAGGTATGTTATAAAAGTGGAAAGCATAGAGTATTTGCATTTTTTGGTTTTAATCTTTTCAAGGTTTATGTCGTAGCATGTATTAGAATGCCTTTCCTTTTTAAGGCTGAATAATATATCATTGTGTGTATTGATCATATTTGCTTATCCATTCATCTGTAGATGGACATTTGGGCTTTTCTACTCTTTGGCTCTTGTGAATGCTGCTATAAACATGGGTGTGCAAATTCCCACTTTCGGTTTCTTGGGGTATATACCCAGATGTGGAATTACTGGATCATATGGTGATTACTGTTTTCCACAGTGGCTGTGCCACCTTACTTTCCCACCAGCAGTGTGCAGGAGTCCTGACTTCTCCACATCCAGCATTTGCTGTTTTCTGGGGCTTTGTTGTTTTGGTTTGCTGGTGGTGGTTTTTCTTGATGGCAGCTACACTTATATGTGTCAGTTGGTATTGCGTTGTGGTTTGGATTTACATTTTTCTCATGATTAGTGATGCTGAGCACCTTATACTGTGCTTACTGGTCATTTGTGTATCCTCTTTAAAGAAATGTATATTTTAAAACCTTTGCTCATCTTTAAATTTGATTGTTGTTGTTGCTTCTGAGGTCTTTATATAGCCTGGATATTAATTACTTATCAAATATATAATGTGTGAATATTTTCTTTCCCTCTGTGAATTTATTTTCAATATATTGATTGTATCTTCAGATACATAAAAGCTTTTCACTTTAATGAAGTTCTTTTTATGTATTTTTGTTGTTGTTGTTGTCTGTGCTTTCACTGTCATATCCAAGAAATTATTGTTAGGTTCTGTGTTATGAAACATTTTTCCTACATTTTCTTCTAAGGGTTTTATAGTTTTAGCTCTTACAATTAGATGTTTGGTCCATTTTAAATTAAGTTTTTTATATGGTGTAAAGTAAGGGTCCAACTTTATTGTTTTCCATGTAAATACTCATTTTTAACACCATTTAAAAATATACTGTCCTTTCCCCATTGAATAGTTTTGACTCCCTTGTTAAAAATCATGACCATATTTTTTGGTTCTTTTTTTCCATTGCATTGGTCTTTATGTCTGTCTCTATGCTGGTACAACATCGTTTTGGGCACTAAAGCATTACAGTAAGTTTGAGACCAGGAGGTGTTAGTCCTCTAACTTTGTTAGTTTTTAAGATTGATTTGGCTGCTTGGGGTTTTTTGAGATTTCATCTGAATTTTAGAATAGGTTTTTCTATTTTTGCAAATATTGGAATTTTTATAGTGATTTTATTGAATCTGGAGATGACTATAGATAACAATGGCATCTTGACAAGGTTTTGTCTTCCATTCCATAAACACATGATGTCTTTTCATTTGTGTCATCTTTAATACTTTTTTGCAATGTTTATAGTTTTTGCTGTACAGGTTTTTCATTTCCTTGGTTAAGTTTGTTTCTAAGTATTTTATTCTGATGCTATCATAAATAATATTGTTGTCTTGATTTCTTCTTCAGATAGTTTATTGTAGAAATACAACTGATATTCATGTGTTGATTTTGTATCCTGCAGTTTTGCTGAATGTTATTTATTGCATCTGATAGTTTATCTCACAGAAACTAGAAGATTTTTAATATATAAGATTATGTCATCTGTGAACAGAAAATTTTACTTTTTTAAAAATTGGAATATCTTTTATTATTTCACTTGCCTTGTTGTTTTAACTAACTAGAACCTTCAGTACTATATTAAATAGAAGTAGTAAAAGCAGATATCCTTGTTTTTGTTTTTAGGGTAAAAGTTTTCAGTCTTTCGTTATAATGTTAGCTGGGTGTTTTTTTTAATATAACATTATGTTAA